GAGTTCGAGGTTATGGTGAGCTATGATTGCACCATTGTACTCCGGCCTGAGCGACAGCAACCCTGTCTCTAAACAAAAACAAACAACCATAAAGAATGCAATGCAAGTGTGGCTCTGAAAGGTGCTGGAGAGTGAAAAATATTCCCAATGGGTAGAGCTACTAGCTGTTCACTTGGGTATTTTTCTTTCTGTGGAAGAAGTGGTCTAAGTGGGGAATATGTACAGATTCCTAGATAGGGTCCAAAGGTCTGGGGTAGAGGCATGTGGATGAACATATGGCAATAGTTACAATATATAAAAATTTTTGTATTTCATAATAATGCCCACCAGAAAGCCTCCACCATGGAAGAGGCACTGAGCAACCAAGCACGCAAAATGACTCGGCCAACTGATTAGCCAGCCTTCAGCCACTCTGGACCTGACATGCTGGGCACGTACGTGAACAGAGCAGTCGTAGCATCAAACCTCTGAGCTCAGTGGTGTGGACACCCACTCACCAAGACAGATTGAGCTACTACTGCTTCTGAATGTCCAATTTGTCAGTCATATAGACCAACACTGAGTCTCTGATACGCCACTTGGTGGCAAGTCATCTGTACTGGGCCCCTGCCATCTGCAAAGGCCAGCAGTTCATCCTCACAGGGATAGACTACCAGGTCTGGGTGTGGGTTTGCCTTTCTTACTCTCAGAACTTCAGCCAGCAGGATGCCCAACTGAGGCACAGATTGCCACACAGCAGAGCCTCTGATCCAGGGCACCCCCTTTATAGTGAAGGGAGTTCAGAAGTAAGCCCGTGACCGTGAGACTTGCTGGTCATATACTGCACCATCCAGAAGCGGCCAACTAATATTAATAAAATCTTGGTAATGACCCTCTTTTTTTTTTTTTTTTTTTAGGAGCCGAGGTCTTGCTCTGTTGCCCATGCTGGAATGGAGTGGCATCATCTTAGCTAACTGTGGGCTCAATGGATGCCCCCTGGCTCAGCCTCCCAAGTAGCTAGGGCCACAGGCATGCACCACCATGCCTGGCTAAGTTTTTTATTTTTTGTAGAGACAAGGTGTTGCTATGTTGCCCAGGCCAGTCTCAAACTCCTGGGCTCAAGTAATTCTCCTGCCTCAGCCTCCCAAAATGCTGGGATTACAGATGTGAGCCACCGTGCTCGGCTCTGGTAATGACCTTCTAAAGACACAGCTGAAGCATTAGCTGAGAAGCAACATTCTGGAAGAAAGAGATGCAGTTCTTCAGGATGCAGTGTTAAATTAGAGACTGCTGTGCTCCCAATGGGAAGAATACAGGGGTCCAGGAACCAATGTGGGGAACCAGGCATGCCCCCACTTACCATCACTCCCAACAACCCGGGTGACTTTGCCCATCCCATCCCAGCATTTCTGGACCCTGCATGGTTGAAGGTCCCGGGTTCCTACAGGAGGTACGCTTTGCTAGGTGACACAGTGAGGGTCCTATCATTTATGGCTGCTACCAGGATACCTGGGACTCCTTGTGCCCAGGGACCAGTAGGTGAGAAAAGGAATCAACACACTGGCAATAGTAATTAACCCTCACCAACAGGAGGAAGTAGGGCTGCCTCTTTCTTCCTTTTTCTCCAAAAAAAGATTACATTTTCTTCTTGCAGACAGGAGTACTGGTGGATCACCTTTATCCCACTGGGGCATGTTTTAGGCTTTATTAGGTTTGGTCTATTATAGTTTTGCCTTTTCTTCCAGGGCAAGGTCCTTATTTCTAGGGTGTTGCCCTTTCTCCTGGGATGTGGCTTTTACTTCTAGGGCGTATTCCTGTGAGACCTCAGCTAAAAACCTAGAGTGTTTACCAAAACTTTTATACTTCAGCAGGGTTTAAACTCTAACATCTGTCTCCGCAACACTTGTGGGGCTGCTGAAATCTCTGTTCAGTTAATTACTCTCTTAGCTATTGTTATCTTCTGGGTTTGTTGGAGTCTCATTCTATGCAGGCACAGTTTAGGAATCAGCCGGTGACTTGAGAAAAATTTGTTCACAGATTTTTGGCTCCTTCTCTGTGGTTTCCTTCTCTCTAGTGTTTTGACTCTTAAGTCCCAATCACTTTGGGGGCTCGGAACTCCTACCTGTATATTTTGAGCCCAGTAAGGTTGTTACTTTCTGCATGGGATGTATTCCTTTGAGCCACAATTTGGACAGTACACTCATAAATCTGGGTGGGAGCACCCTGTGTACTTCTCTTTTCTCAAAGATTGTAGCCCTTCATGTCCTGACTGCACTGGTTACTTTCTTATACCTTCCAAAGACATTTTATATATTTTTATCTAGTTTTATTTCAGTGGAAATACAACCTCTCAATCATGGCTGGAATCAGAAGAATCCCTGAATACATATACGTAGGGTCTAGAGGGCCTTACATGACATGACTCCTGGCCAGTTTTCTGACCCCTTCTTCCACGCCTCTCTTCCCTCATTTCCCTTCAGCCACACAGGCCTTCATTTTGAATACTTATTCCCACCTCCTCAGGATCTTGAGCTAGTTATTGACATCTATCTGCTTTTGGAACATTTTGCATCCATCTTTATATGGTTGCCATCTTTATGCTGATTGCCTCTTAGCTCAGTTATTACTCAGAGGGCCTAGCCATAGCTGCTTTTATATAAAGCCCTTCCCCTCCCTAGTCATATCATATTTCTCCTCTCCTCTCCCTTCCCCTCCTCTCCCCTCCCCTCTCCTCTCCTCTCTTCTCCTCTCCTCTCCTCTTTCTTTTCTTTTTGAGACAGGGTTTCACTCTGTTGTCCAGGCTATAGTGCAGTGGCATCATTATGGCTCACTGCAGCCTCCAACTCCTGGGCTCAAGTGATCCTCCTGCCTCAGCCTCCTGAGTAGCTGGGACTATAGGCTTGTGCTGCCACTCTTAGCTAGCTTTTTTTTTTTTAGAGATGGAGTCTTGCTATTGCCCAGGCTGGTCTCAAACTCCTAGGCCTTAAGTAATCCTCCTGTCTCAGCCTCCCAAAATGCTAGGATTACAGGTGTGAGCTACTGTGCCTGGCCTATCTTCTGTTTTCTTCGTAGTACTTATACTATCTGAAATTATCTTGCTCTTTGTTTACTGTCTTTATTATCTCTTGTGTAATCCAGTTCTTGAGCAATGCCTGGCACATTAAAAAAAATGCTCAATAGATATCTGTTGAATGAATAAATTAGGACATTGAGGATCAAGAAACAAAGGGTACAATAAAGGATAAAATGAGTTTCATCTCAGTCACTGATATGCCATCCAGACCCAGGAAGAGCTGGAAACTCCTTGTGAGCCATGGCCACGGCCCTATGGGCTATCACAGGAAGCACCCAAGAGGCTGGGGTAATGGTAGCATGCTTCACCACAGGATCAGCTTGGACAAATACCATCCAAGTTACTTTAGGATAAAGTTGGTATGAGGCATTACCACTTAAAGAGGAACCAGAGCTTCTACCCAACTGTCAACCTTGATATATTGTGGATGTTGGTCAGTGAGCAGACACAGGTAAACGCTGCCAAAATCAAGACTGCTCCCATCACTGATGTGGTACGATCGGGACACTACAAAGTTCTGGGGAAGGGAAAGTTTCCAAATCAGCCTGTCATCATGATGACCAAATTCTTCAGCAGAAGAGCTGAGGAAAAGAGGGGGGAGGGGATGGCCTGGGTCCTGGTGGCTTAAAGCCACATGGAGGGAGGTTCACTAAATGCTAACAAATGCTTTCTCAAAAAAAAAAAAAAAAAAAAAGGAATGACTAGTTTCTGATAGAGACAGTACACTTTATATTGAAAATTCAATGAGGTCAGGAGACCTGATTTAGTTCTACCATCTTTCTATTGGGTTGGAGGCTCATGGCTTCTGTAAGGTCTAAGCTTCCTTGACATGGCCTGGCTGCGTTCCCAGATTTCTGTTTCTTGCTTCTTGGTCTCTGTGATTTCAAGATGGGCACATATACTCCTCTCTATCTTCAGAGGCAATCTGTGGCTGGCATAGGGTTTCCTCAATGCAGGTTGAAAGATAAGCAACTGCTGGTTTCTCTGAGCAGATTGTCAATTTCCAGCCTTAAACTGGTTTAAAATAATCTCCCACTTGTTTGAGCACATGCAGACCAAGCATTGAAAATTAATGGACCCTAGTGACTTCTCAGGGACTTCTGGTGATGTCTCTAGCCTGGCTGCCTGAAACTTATCTATGCCATATGTTTACTAATGAACATGCACATTTATCTGGGCTGCCTTAGTCAATGTTTAAGGTTCACAGCAGCCTCAGGATTATTTTACGGCAGTAACAAGGCTAGGTGTTGGTGGAGGTGCCAACATGCTGTCAATCCCCGAGAGAGAGGGGCCTGGGCTCAGGCACAGTGGGCAGTTTGTACCCACAGAATAATTTTAGTCTCAGGGGCTCCTCGTGGGGTCTCTGAGCCTCCATCTGACTTCTCAGGTTCTACTTATGTCTGATCTAATCTTGACTGCTCACATGTGAGTCAGGACAGCAGAAGCTGCATTTTTGAACATGGTGACCAGTAGGGATTACATGTCCCAAACTGCCCTCATTCCCCAACATGCTGCATTGGCAGAGTGGGATAAAAGTGCACCAGGGTAGTGTGAAGACCCAGGGATTCTGGTGGGAAGCTGTCCACAGGCTGGCAGAGTTCATCCTGGGCAGCTCATTGAATCCCTCTGTGAAGAACTGTTAACATCTGTGCCCTTTCTCAGTTGAGTTAGTACCTAACCCAGGCGTTATGCATGGCTCCGATTACACAATGGATATGAAGAGACTTTGGGAAGATGTCCTCTCTTCTCTCTTAAGGAGAGGAGGGACACTAGCGTGGGGCGCTGCTGAAGATGTTGCATGCAGGTCAGCAAGAACAGTTACCGACACATGGACTTAACCTGAGTCCTCAAAGACGTGTTTTGTTATTTTTTTCATTCTTTAAACATGAGTCTAAATTCTGGCTTTGGCCTCAGGCACACAGAGCTTCACCGTTTCTTAACAATATTGCCTATAACTTTTTGAGTTCCATATTGTGGGCAAGCACTTTCCTCATTATTATTTCTAATCTAAACAATTATACTTTCTATTTGAGCTAGTCTGCCGAAGAGCAAGGATTATAAACCTGGTCTTTTCTTACCCCGAACCTGTGCTCTTAACCTTTATTGGATGCTGCCCTGCTCTCTGGGTAAGAAAGACTTTTGAGGCGGGTGGAAGGAAAGAGGGAGAGATTGAAGAAGTGGCTCTTAGATTCCGGAATACACCTGGTTCTGTAAAGTTCACCTCTACATATAAAGTTTTTTTTTCCAAGCCATTGAACCGGCGACGTATTCTACCGGCCATCTTGGTTGTGGCAACCGCAATTCCTTTTTTTTTTTTCTGTGACGACAACCAAGGGAATTAGACAAAGCCACTCTGCTTTTTTTGGAGGAGCCTAGCAACTATCTCCTTAGGTGAGGAGTGCAGCTCTCCCGCCCGCCAGGTCCAGGGCGTGGGCCCTTCCGAACGCGGCCTCCTCCCTCGCTCGGCTCTGTGCTCGCGGGTCCGCGCCTGCCTGGGAGGGGCTCGGCTGGGCCCCGCCGGCCCCCCCCGCGGCCCCGCCCCTCATTTAAATACGCGGCGCCGGCGGGTGCGTCGAGCTCGCCGCGGACCCAAGATGGCGGCGTGTGGACGTGTACGGAGGATGTTCCGCTTGTCGGCGGTGCTGCAGCTGCTGCTGCTCGCCGCGACCGGGGCCCAGAAACTCCAGGGCCAGGGCGGCCACGGCCAGGGCCAGGGCCAAGGGCCCAACTTTGCGTCCTTGGTAGGGCAGGCTGGAGGCGGCGGCCCGGCGGGTCAGCAGCTGCCCCAGCTGCCTCAGTCATCGCAGCTCCTCCAGCAGCAGCAGCAGCAGCAGCAGCAGCAGCCGCCTCAGCCGCCGCAGCCGCCTTTCCCGGCGGGTGGGCCTCCGGCCCGGCGGGGCGGAGCGGGGCCCGGCGGGGCTGGCGGGGGCTGGAAGCTGGCGGAGGAAGAGTCCTGCAGGGAGGACGTGACCCGTGTGTGTCCCAAGCACACCTGGAGCAACAACCTGGCGGTGCTCGAGTGCCTGCAGGACGTGAGGGAGGTGAGGAGGTGGGACGGAACCGGGAGGGCCAGGCCTGGTGCGGGCCCGAGGGTGTCGCCGGCCTTGGAAGCCGCTGACGCCGATCTGCTGCTTCCTTGGCTTCCTCTGCGCTGCACTCGCTCCTTCCCTCCCTGCCCCTCACTCTCTGGTACATTCAGGGACGAGGACCCCCATCCCCACCCCCACCCCTTCCTTCCTTCCTTCCTTCCCCGGCTCTTATTACCCTCCTTGTTTCGGGGGTCTGGAACCAGACCTCGGCTCCTGGCCGCAATCCGCGAAGGCCCAGAGCGTGTTTCTGTTTGCTCCTGTCTTTTGTGTGATGCTCTATGCAGAGTGGCTCCTCGCTGAGACCAGTTTAGGATTTTGCCATCAGTTTCGACTTGGACAATTCGTAGCAATTCATTTAAACATAAAAAAATGGTTGGCGTACTTAGGCTGTTCAAGAATGATCTGCTGTTTATTAGCAGTAGACACTGTTTGGTAGGTAACTTGGGTCCTATTCCGATGTGTATTGTAGTCAACAGCAGAATTAACTGTCTTTTACCCCATCCTTTTGTAATTCGCAAATCTCTCTTATTTAACTGGTGCTGAAACTAATGCAAGCTTTTCTTTCCTTCACTTCCTTTGCTCAGTTTGTAGTGAACCTCTTGTTTAAGCTATTAACTCCCATTGACTTGGAGCCCCAGAGCTTGAAAACTTAGGGCAGCATTTGAAGCTGTGTTTGTGATTGGGTTGTGGGCTCTTGGCTTTCTGAGGTCTGAATACGATTTTAACATTTTTTTTAACTCTAATTCTATAATAGATTATTAACAATATCGCTTAATGAAATCTTGATTTGATGTTGCTTGATGTGATTCAGTTAAGTGATATTGATAATTTCTTCTCTAGATTTAATGCTGCAGACATAAGTGCATATTTGACAGTTCTCAGAGTTTGAAAGCAAATGTGGTAGTAATACTTTTTTTTTTTTTTAAAGATGTAGGTATATAGAATTAGCCTCAAAGGTTGACAAGTAGAATGAAGCTGCTCCTTGATACTATTTCATTTGAGAAATTGTATTATCAGAAGTGTCTCAGGTGTTCAAGACTATGAGAAGACCACTGGTTTGTAGAAATTTGCTACTCTTGGCAGTCTTCCCCCTTTTTCCCACTGTGACATTTGCTCTAGTATTCTATACAAAAGTAACTCAGAAAAGGAAAAGACATACATAAACAGGAAACAGAAAGAAAAGAAGTTTCCAGAGCTACCAGAAATGTGAGGCCTTACGTGACTTCTCATCTATACCACGAAGACTAGAAGAATAATCCCTTGTTATTCTTTGTTCTTCATCTACTCTAGTAAATACATCTAAGATTCTTCACTGTCAAACTTTTTGGAATTCTCTGTTTGGTCTTCAAGGATACATGATAGATGTTGTTTCCTCAAACGAGGATCCTAATATTGGTGACCAAACGCGTTGTTGGTTTGTGGCACAAACGGGACATTATTAGTGAAAGTGTCAAAAAGTGGCCTGTTCAAGGAGTGCATGTCTCTTTTTCCATGTGCATTAGGGACATTGGGAAAACTCCACTTAGAGGAGGTGGTTTTATGTTCCAGAGGAAGAAAAGTGTCATGTAAATTGGAGATAGGGCGGCTGGTGCGGTGGCTCACGCCTGTAATCCTAGCACTCTGGGAGGCTGAGGCGGGTGGATTGCTTGAGCTCAGGAGTTCGAGACTAGCGTGAGCAAGAGCAAGACCCCGTCTCTACTAAAAATAGAAAGAAATTAGCCAAACAACTAAAAATAGAAAAAATTAGCCGGGCACAGTGGCGCGTGCCTGTAGTCCCAGCTACCTGGGAGGCTGAGGCAGGAGAATTGCTTGAGCCCAGGAGTTTGAAGTTGCTGTGAGCTAGGCTGATGCCACGGCACTCTAGCCTGGGCAACAGAGTGAGACTCTGTCTCAAAAAAAAGAAAAAAGAAATATTGAAAGGATGAGTACCATGAACATCTGCATGTATTTCTCAGGAGGTGGGGTTGTTATTTATTTATTTATAGCACAACAGTACCTCAGTGGAATTATTTTTAAACCTTTTTTTTCCCCTAAAAGCAGCAAAAGGAAATTTTATTGCACTTAGTTTGAGAATTAATTAAATATAATTTATGTGTTTGAAAGGGCATAACTCAAAGAAGTAAACTAGCTAGGCACATTTGAAGAGAAATGTATGGAATATATTTTTTATTTGCTGTTCAGTAAGTAGGATTATTTGTTTCTTTGTTGTTTTTTTTTTTTTTTTTTTTTTGAGACAGGGTCTTGCTGTCACCTGGGCTAGCTAGAATCATATCTCACTGCAACCTCAAACTCCTGGGCTTAAGTGATCCTCCCGCTTCAGCCTCCTGAATAGCTGGGACTACAGGGGCACGTCAGTACTCCTGGCTAATTTTTAAATTTTTTATAAAGACATGGTCTCACTATGTTGCCCAGGTTGATTGTGAACTCATGGCCCAAGTGATCCTCTCTGTTCCACCTACCAAAGTGCTGGGATTACAGCTGTGCGCCGCTGTGCCTGGCTTGGTTCCTTAGAAGTTTATTTGTGATGTTCATAGTTTTTCTTACACGGAAGTAGAGTGTATGGTGTAATGAGTCCCAGGGTCTATTTACTCAGCTTCAACTATCCCCACCCTTTTATTTTTGGGGCACAGGAGTTGGGAGAGTGGCATATTTTAAAGCACATCCCAGATACTATGTCATTTCACTCAAATACTTCAGTATATGTCTGTGGTAATTACTAAAAAAACCAAAACTAGAACCTAAATGTTATTTTTTAGTATTTAAATGCATCATGAAATATTTTTTCTGAATTTCTTGATGCCTTCTCTTGATATATCAGTTTCAAATTATAAATTTGTGGGCCACTATCTAAGCTATGCACAGAGTGAATGCTTTGTAAATGTTTAGTTAAGATAGACTATTTTATATATTGAACAGGAATTAATATTTCAGTATTACAAACCATAAACTCACTTTCAAACTCATAGGTGTACATATTTGTTACTCTGTTCCTGACCTTTCACTTAACTATATATACCTGAGATAGTGGACCACATTATGTCCATTATCTCATTTAATACTCCTAGTAGTCCTGTGAGGTGCATAATGTTACTATTTTAGCTGAGAAATAGGCTCAGAGAGCTAAAGTAACTTCTCTGACATTATATCCTAAGTGGTAGAGCTGGTATTCAGCAAGTCCTCTGACTTCAAAAACCATACTCTTTCCAATCTACTGTGGGTGGTTGCAGCTGGGGAAATTAGTATGTGACTGTTGAGAATGCCACAGGTTTATAAATGGACACAAAATGGGAAGGATCACCTAAAATTAGAATCCTTTTTTTTTTCTCACTATCACGAACAATTGAGTGGCAACATCTCCTATATCTTGAAGTATTATAGATTTCTCAGGCAGACAGACCAGCGTTATTGGACAAAGCTAATTTAATTACTAGTCTGAGTCCATTGTGAACAGAATTTCTACTTAATGTAAAGACTTTCAAATCCCAACTCACCTTAAGCAGGATTTGTACTAGTACAATGGAAGCGTTTAGTTATATTTCCGTGCTATTTGTATTGAATGCATGGAGCAGCACAAAAAGTGAACTGGGACTAGAGCTGACACTGTCATTACCCAACTAATGACTGTGGGCAAGTCATTTTATTGCTCTGAGTCACAGTCCTCATACATTAAATGAGAAATGAGAAGTTTGGTAATAGTACAACTTCCAAGAACTCTATTATCTAACCTGTATGAGTTGTGCCCTGTATATATTCTCTGTACATATTTATATATATTTATAGTTTCTAGGATAATATGTGTACCATATCCTGATTCCATATTCATTCATGGAGGGCACTAGTGATAAGAATAGTACGAACAGCAATTAATTCAAACATTGTTTGGCTTTGGGATATATTATGATTTTTTTGTTTGAGCCAATATGGAATTTCCTCCTATGCTCTCTCTCAGTGGTTGGAAGCAATATAACCACATAATCAAGTCATCATTGATCTATTATGCACTTATTATTGTGGAAGGACACTAGTACTTTAAGATGCCACCATTGCTTACAGTTGGCTTGATAAATGAGATTGTTGTGATCAAGAAGCCATTATAAAAGATGATGTCAATCATTTGATGTCTTACAGACAGTAAATTATTTTAGGGCAGTGAAATCAAAATTAGGATTTAGATTTGGATGGAACCCAGCTCTGCTATACTTAGCTTAAAAATTCTGTCACTTTATTTTTCCTAGGTGGGGACTGTCTACTTTATCCCTGCCCTAAGTAAAGATATAGATGAATCCATGAGTTTGATGTGCTAGTTGTACTTTTCTAATATATATTAAACTAAATATATGACCATTAAAATACACAGTACCAATGCATACCATCTGAAATCATCTTGTGTACCCGTAGTGGTACACGCTTTGGAAAACACTAAGACTAGATTATCTCTTAAAATTCTTCCAGCTCTGGTGCTTCATGATTTTGTGATCTGTGGGAATACAAGATGTGCAAGAGAGTCATAAGCATAGGTGAAAAGGGGAGATACTTTGAGGTATTATAAGGGGGCTATGTTGACTGAAGTATAAAGTTTGAGAATTTTTCAGAGTCCAGCTTATGAAGGGTCTTATATACAACCCTGACTGGATCTCCAAGTAAAGTCCAGAAATGGGATGTGGTTTTATCCCAACCTAAGATAAAAAATATTGAGATATTGGAGATAATTGAGAGTTACCTGTAAAATAGCATTGTCATTTACAGCAAATACGTTTTAAGAAGTCTCTTGATGAGAGTGCTTTACAGTATATAGTTGCTTAATAATCCATTATTCCGTAGAAGGAAATAAAATACTTTTAACAGTCCAAAAGATAAAATGCTGCATTTCTCTTTTCTCCTGATGTGTTCAAAACAAATTTAGTCAGCAACAATCCCAAAAGATTCTCCTGTTTATATGACATATTTGTATA